TGAGCTCAAAGTTGAAAGTCAGGGGGCACTTCTATTACAGGTTTTACGGTATATTTTTTTTCAAAATTTTGAAACAGGAAGTAGCCGAAAATTGGAAAATAAGTTTTTCTTCAAAAACCTATTGTTACACTTTCAAAATATGCTCATTCAGCCTACTCAAAATTGGAAAAAAAACCGAGCTGTCATCGGAATAATCGAAATGGAACAATGTTTATTAGGAAAGGGGGTCTGCTCGAGTATGATGAATAAAACGTACCCCGGTTTCATCCACTTTGCACCTAATACTCTGTGGGCGGACGTCTCTTATCAGGAATTGTTTTTATGATGGATACAATGAATGATGCGGAAGAGCCTGAACCCAATCCTGATAGTGTTTACCATTGAGCAGTGGAAGAGAGTATCTTTGAAAATGCTCGCGAGTGGGATACCTTTTCGACCAAGCACTGGAAAAATTATTTTAAAACGAAATTAAGAAATGAACCGACCGACAAATCTGTCCTCGTCTATTTCGAACACCTCCACCATCTTTGGAATTCCGTTGATCCCATCACAGCGCTCGAAAAAGGTGACATGGGCATCAACACGCTGATCGTTTAGGGCGAACCTTTTCACCAAGACTTGTTTGTTGTTTTGCTCATCAATGGCATGGAGAGACTACACCCCATACCAACTTCCGGCAAATCGCTCAATTTTGAATTTATTGTTCAGAATGCTTCCGTTTGGCAATTATTCCTGTAAATAAAAAGATTTCAATTATTGAACGAAATTGCTAAAAACTCACATTTTTAGAGCAATGAAGACTAATTTGATGAAACGTGGTGTGTAGTGGGTGGTAGAAGGTCGAGAATTGATGAGGAGTGTGAGAATTTTTTGAGCTGAAAACTTTGAAAATTAACAAAAAATTTGGAGAACGAGAGCAAAATAACCTGGAAGCAGGTACAGGAGGCTTAGAAAGGGAAGGGCGATCAAATAGTTGCTCTCAGAGAGGTTCAATGGTGTTGGCGAGTCAAGTGAACCGGGAAAGCGGTACGTTTGTATTTTGGATTCGAGGTTAGAACTAGCAGAGTTATGTAACTTTCCGCCAATTTTCCGATGACTTAGATGAAGGAAATATGGCATTTCAGCCTAAGCCTATAATCTACAAAGGTTTCCTAGTGTCAAAATTTTTCTACCCATTTTTTTATGTGATTTTCATTCGTTCCGCAATTCTAGAACAGTGCCATAAAACTTTAGAAATGAAAAAACAAAAAACAAAAAAAATGATTTCAGAAAAGAATAGATCAACTGAAATGAGCAAAAAACAAGAAACTGCAGCACTTTGGAAGATTTTGGGGACAACCATGACTCGGACACCTTCTGAAAACCCCCGTTAATTCCCGAAACCCCTTCAAATATTCAAAACCCCGTTAATTTTTTAAACCCCGTAAAAAATTTAAACCCCCGTTAATATTTTAAACCCACGTTAAATCATAAAGAGCCAAACATTTCACTCTTCAGAACACTCTGAAAACGAAAATCCGGAGAGCTAGGATAAACTACACATGATGAAATATACCAAAACCTTCACAAATCCTTCGTGATTCCTATGCGAAGTAAGTGAACTCAAAAGATACAATATGATTATGTTCCGAATCCAAATTCACATTTCCACACGACTCTTACGCAAACAGATGTTCATAGTTTTTATTTTTACAAGATAAATTAATCGTGGGTTGTTTTTTTTCTACAAAAATTATTCCGACTGCTCTTTAGTTCTAATTGTTTCTACAAGAATATTTCTTCAAGCGAATGTATCGTGTGACCGTTGGAGATATACATACTCTGTGATATTCACCATTAACCACATCAGTGGGTTTTCTAAGAAAAAGTACTCCGACTTGTTCATTTGCACATGGAAATAATTATTGCATTGAGAATCGAAAATATCTCTAGTGAATTTACATTCCTGGAAGATTGTTGTAGAGTTTGTTGCATCCACTGGTCTTGAACTCCTGAGTCTTGGTTGGGGTGGTTTTCAAGCAACATCTGAATCCATCTCCAGTCATGCACGATCCATCGTAGACAGCAGCACAGTTATGAACACAGAGGTTGTAGCAGGTTTGGTTGGAGGCGAGGGCATAGCTGTTCCATGGAGCACAGTTGTCATAAGATGCTGCTCCTTGGACAGAAGAACAGTACTGTTGGCAGATGACCAAGGTGACAGAGGCAGCAGTAGAGAAGAAACAGAAGGCGAGAAGGATGCGGAACATCTGGAAATGTTTTGATGAGAGAATGAATTAGAAGGGCAGAGAACTTACCATTATGAGAATGGACAGACGAATCTGAATCTGATGCAAACTGTCTCCATGGCTCTCTTTTTATGCAGATTAAGGAAACCATGAAATACACTGCGTAGGAGTTGTATGGCAGGTGGAGGATCAGCTTCAGAAGAATTATAGAAACATGTAGATGGAGAATGCTATGGATATCTTTCATTTTTTGTGTGCAAACACCTACACATCATATACTGGACACCTTCATTCTGTGGGTGGACTGGATGAAATAGAAAATGCTGTACATGATGCACTTGGGGAATAAGCGCCAAAAGAATAATAGAAACATGGAGACGTAGATTGCTAAAGATATTTCATTTTGCTTACCAACACCTACACACCCTGTCCTGGACACCCACACTCTGTGGGAGGACTGGATGAATACAATAGGTTTGTTTCAATGAACTGTGCCTCTGCTCTATCGAGACATATCAATAATATTTCGATATGTGAACCCACCTCTGCAATACACGATCAGATGCGCGTCAACGCTTTTTACAAAATGAATGAATCATGGGTTGGCAACATTATATTGAATCGCTCACAGTGTCTTTTGTTGTAGATTACCAACAAACATGTTTCATAATGAGATTTGTGCTCACACCAGAAATTTGTGCTAAACCAGTCCATCGAAACAGCCTATTGTATTCATCGCGTTTAATTCACCATGAAAAAAAACTAGAGTGCACATCTGATTGTGTAGGTGTCGTGCGGTGGTGGTTTCACAAATCAAAATTTGATTGGTTTTTAAAAAATCGATACAGCAGAGTCCTGTATGTGGCACAGTTCAGTGAAACAAACCTATTGTATTCATTCAGTTTTCCCACAGAGTGTGGGTGTCCAGGACAGGGTGTGTAGGTGTCGGCAAGCAAAATGAAGTATCTTTAGCAATCTACGTCTCCTTTTTTCTATTATTCTTTTGGCGCTTATTCCCCAAGTGCATCATGTACAGCTTCCACGCAGTATATCTTATTGTTTTCCAAATCTGCATAAAAAGAGAGCCATGGAGACAACTCACATCAGATTCGTCTGTCCATTCTCAAAATGGTAAGTTATCTGCCATTTTTTACTATACCTCAGTAAAACATTTGCAGATGTTCCGCATCCTTCTCGGCTTCTGCCTCTTCTCAACTGCTGCCTCTGTCACTTTGGTCATCTGCCAGCAGTACTGTTCTTCTGTCCAAGGAGCAGCATCTTATGACAACTGTGCTCCATGGAACAGCTATGCCCTCGCCTCCAACCAAACCTGCTACAACCTCTGCGTCCATAACTGCGCTGTTGTCTACGATGGATCGTGCATGACTGGAGACGGATTCAGATGTTGTTTGAAGACCACTCCAACCAAGACTCAGGAGTTCAAGAGAAGTGGATGCAATAAGCTCTACAACAATCTTCCAGGAATGTAATTCTTCTGAGGAACGAATTTTTATTTTCAACGCAATAAATATTTCTATGTGCAAATGAAATAGTCGGACTAATTATTGTAGAACGGAAACCTATTCTGAGGGGTTTTCTGAGACAAGAAAAATTACCCACTCTTACGGCAAATGTGTTTTACAAAGTTTTACATTCAGTATTACAAAAGTGAACCAAGTTATAATATGATCGAACAAAGTTTTAGTGGTCCGGGAAGTGAAGTTCAGAATTTCGATGCAGTATGTATTCTGCTCATCTGAAGGTCCTACCTCTTTCCTGAAGCGAGTGATTTAGTACCCCATTAAAAAATTTCCAGATGTTCTGCTTCTCGCCTTCTGCCTCTGTCACTTTGGTCATTTGCCAGCAGTACTGTTCTTCTGTTCAAGGAGCCGCATCTTATGACAACCGTGCTCCATGGGACAGCTATGACCTTGATTCCAACCGAACCTGCTACAACCTTGGTGTTCATAACCGTGCTGCTGTCTATGATGGATCGTGAATGACTGGAGACGGATTCAGATGTTGTTTGAAAACCACTCCAACCAAGACTCAGGAGTTCAAGACCAGTGGATGCAATAAGCTCTACAACAACCGTCCAGGAATGTAATCTTTCTGAGGAGTGAATTTCCATTTTCAACGAAATATAATATCTACATATGTAGATCTGAAATTGTCGGGCTAGTTTTCGTAGTATAGGAAAGTAATATAAATGGTTGAACAATTATAAACGCATACAGCGAATGTTTCTCACAGAATTCTTAGCATTCGTTATTTGAAAAACTGTGTTTCACAAAAACCGGGCTGCTCTAAAATGATTTATTAAAAATAGTATAACCGTCTCCAAACTTCTGAAAATTTCAGATTGGTGAACCTGGAGGTTCCAATACTAGAATTTTTGAAAAAAATTCATAATAGGAAACCGAAAACTAAGAGACTTCTTAACCATTATTGAAAAATTTTAGATATAGAGTTTTCTCGATTATGATTAGCGGGAGGAAGAACAACGACAATCAACAAAAAAAAGACTCTCCTTTTCTTCAGGTCAACTGCCCACCACTTCTAAATTTGGAAAACTGATTCTTTTCGTAGGTTTTACATTTGCAAATGAACCCTGCATTTTGATTATTCGACTCATTTCAACAAACGCCTGAATTTAGAAAAAATATTCTCCAACAACACTTTTAATGATTGGATTGGGACGGTAAACTTATGTAAAAAAAGAAAATGTGATCTACTTCTTACTAAGGAAACTTTTCTGTGTGTCTGTGTGTCTCGGACATTGACTTGAATAACTCGAAGGGACGTGGGACTCCTATAGTGGTATGTAGTATGTAGTCATGGACTACCGAGCTCTTCATGCCTATGGTGTCCTGGTAGAAATTAATAAAAAGGTGGATTACAAAAATCACTGTTGGCTTGTTCGGGGAGATTTGCAAAAATGAATATGACATGGTAGATATAGAACGGGTCAGACTATCCAATCTGATAGATGGGAAGGCAAGTAAGTATCCATGCAAAACAACAAGTTCTGACTGGAACATGTGGCAAGATATGTGATAAAAGCCGTAATTAAATGATGTGGGAAGATGGGGGAGATTGAATAGAAAAAGTATTTGGTGAATCGCCTATTTAGTTAGACGAAAGAACGACATGTTCAAAAAAAAAGAAGACATGTTCAAAAAAGTTGTGATTAGAACAAAACAAGCTTTACAAAAGAATGAGGTTGAATGGGGAGATGCTGCTAGAAATTAAATAAACATGATATTGGATGGATGACCTATTTAGAAAGAAAAACTGGGAAAGAAGGAGTTAAAGCAGAGTTCCAGCAACTGAAAGTGACAGGGAAAATTTTAAAAATGCTCAAATAAACGTTAGATGGCATGGGAAAATGGGCGAAATTGACTAGGTGTTTGATTGGAAATTTGAAAGAGCGATAAATGGGGAAGGAAGAGAACTATCCAAATCAGCTTACATTTTATGGGAGAAGAAGTCAGCAATTCTCACTGAATGTAGAAGTGTCCTGCGGCGTTATGAGCGTATGAGATCTCCGAACGCATATCCACCCCTTCCACCGCATTCTCCAGCTTGCGAATGACTTCGTCGTGGCTGAATGTTCCATCCTGTCTCATGATCTCCACATCCCAATACAAGTCAGCTAACCATATCGTTTCAGCCGTCACAAAACGTCTTGGATTCTCGTCCTAGAAATAACCAAATCGATAAATATAAAAAAGTGTTTAGCAACTCACGAATTGCTCTTTCTTTTCAGCCAGGCTCCACTGTCTTTTGGTGTTGAGAGAAAAGGGCATCAGCCCTTGCGAGGCGAGCATGACAAAGATGATACTGATGTAGTCATCTTCTTTCACATAGGGTTCACCGAGGACCGCTGGGTAGCAGGCATAACGGCCGATTTTCATCCCGTTGAACGGATCGACTGGTGGAGCTGGCGGTGGGTTGATGGGTGCCACGTAACCAAATGAGCTGAGCTCGACTTCCAGTTTCTGAAAAAAGAACGTTTCAATGAATGACGTGAAAATTTAGTTTACTCTGAATAACGTTAAACCTGTATTAAAAGAGGCTCTTTAATATAAGAGTCACTTTGAAAAAAGGGCCCTCTGAGATGAGTTCGGAAAAATAAAAAGACACTTGTACTACAGGGTCCCTCATAACGCTCTCGCTTGAATTTTTACATTCCTCAGTAAAAATGATCCGGAAAATCCACAATTTTATCTAAATTTGTTCAAATTCTTTTTTCTGCTTAGAAGTTTGTTAAATTCTGGAGAAAATTACAGGTGTTTATTAATTTTAAACGAGAATTCGCCAAAATTTTATGATTGGTTTCGAGAAAAATGGTTGAAAAATTATAAGGGTCGCTGTAATAGGAGCATACTTGCAAAAATCGTTGAAGGCCCGGCCCGGCCCGGACAAGAATTTTTTTGGTCAAAAATATTTTTGGTCATAAGTTTTTGAGCTTTTTCCAATCAATTACATAGTCATGACGTATAGATTAGCTGAAAAATAACTAACCCCGCTCCATCCGATATCGGCCATGATGATGTGCGGACGGATGTCTCTGTGGAGATATCCTCGGATGTGCATGGCATGGACCAGTTCGAATAGTTGGAAACCGAGACGAACAGTATTAGCTAGAGTGATTTTGAAAAGTGATAAGTTGAGCAACGTCTCCAGTTTTTGCCCGTTCCGAGTGTGAGCTAAAAAAATAACCGTCTGAAAAAAAAAAAATATTTGAGTAACACGCACCAATGTACTGTTGGTCTCCGTCAAATAGCTCGAAACTTCCAATATACCGCGGGATTCCATTGGTTCCACCATACTGTTCCAGAAAACGTTTTTCGACGGCAGTCCGTGGATCGTCCACAAGTCGTCCCTTCACAACGACGTTGTATCCGTGTTCTCCGTCCATACCGAAATAGGATTCTTCTTGGAGCCAGTTGCCAGTTCTTACGGAGAGCTTGAATCTTCCACCAATTGTTGTATTCATAGGGGCTCGAAGCCTAAAAGTTTTATGTATGCTCATTTTAACGTGGAAATCTGGATGCCTTGTAAACCCAGATTTTGATAAATTTCTCAGAATAAAGTAGCAATACCTTATCTAGAAATACCGTAAACATTTTAATATATAGCCCCTCCTAATTGAACGCCACCCTCTAATAGAACGTCCTCTGAGCTGTGCTCCAAAAAATAGAACGCCACCCTCCAATTGAACGCCAATCTCCATTGGAATGCCACTCCTAATAGGCCTTCTCGAAAAATAATTTACCATGCAGCAGATTATCAATTAGTTGCTTTTTAGTGAGGGTTGAGACATTGTACAATACACAAGTAGCGCGATTGTTTTCTCTTATTAACCATTTTGCTTTTTTTTCCATACTTCGAAACTGCGACACTTCGAAGTCATTTCGACCCCGGTTATTTTGAAACCGCGGTAATACAGGCGAACGGATAAATTTCAGACTACAAAAACAATGTCAGGGTTTTGAAATAAATTTGATTGAACAAACTCTGAAATTAGAAAATCTCCAACATTTATTTTTTTGTTAAATCAATTTTTTGCGAATTTTCCGAATTTCAGAATGTGCTCTATCAGAAAAATAGATTTGAAAACCCTAACACTGTTAATAGTCTGAAATTTGTTCATTCGTCTGTATTACCATGGATTTGAAATGACCAGTTTCGAATTGTTGCAGTTTCGAAGTATCGCCAAGCCATTTCCTACAGTTAAATTTTGGTAGGATCCAAAAAGAATCTTCACTAATTTTTTCCGGCAAAAAAATGGTGTCGAATAATAGAATGCCAGCCTCTAATTGAATGCCACCCTCTAATAGAACGTTCTCTCAGCTATGTATCGAAAAATAGAACGCCATGGTAATAATGGTAAAAATGGTAAAAAAGTTTTTTCCGGTATCTGCAAGTATCAGGAACCGCTCGTCAGTTTCAGTCGAGTTATATTGATTTCAGCACTTAACATAGTTTTTTCAGTCTAAACCAAAAATTTTCAAAAGCTATTTTCTCAATTACTAGGACGTTTCAGAATACTAGATTTGTATTGTTCAATTGAAATGCATGGGTTTTTATTGTCGAATTTTGCATAATTTCTTCGTATGTATTCGAAAATTGAAAAAAATCCAGCTTTTGAGAAAATATCTGAAGTTTCAAATTCTATTTGACTCGAAGTATAACAGGAATCACTTCATGTTCTGAAACGTTGTAGAAGGTAAGGAATCGTCCTTGAAAATCACTGTTTTGCACTAAGAAAGCAATTTTTGGTACTGAAACTGATTTGACTCGTCTGAAACCGGAGAGTGGATTCTAGGATTTTTTAGGTGTCTAGATTGGCTATTCTTATCCGGAAATTTTCATAGAAAACTGGGTTAACAAACTGTTGAGGTACCTTTGAAAGAGGAACCAATTATTATAACTCACACTGGACGAATCATTGTATTGCGACGTGGACTGAGGAAACGGCTGATGCAACGTCAAATTTCAAGTGGTAAAGCTTGGAGAAGGATCAGATGATGTGACGACCAACCAGAACAAGAGTGAGCTTGACTGGCTTTCCTGTAAACAGAAAACTAATTAACGATAGAAAAACGACGCAAAATGAAAAGAAGTAAGCAATAAACGAAAGAAATAAAATATAATAATAAAAGAAAAGAAAAGAAAAACAAAAAAGAAAAAAAACCGTCGAGTGAGCGCCAGGTGGCCGCGCAACAGGGAGGACACTCCATGTATTCGGACCCCTCTTTATGTATGTGTGTGCGCACTGTTATCCCGCGCACAACACACAATGTGTGAGGCCTACAGTGTTATCCCAATGCCACGTTGCATGAAAGACTGCAAGAAAGACTGCAAAGATGTGTTGCACACCGCACAACCTGTATGCTCCCTGCCACTCTGCAAAAGAGATTCAATGAAAAACATTGTATTTTGGTGATGCCTCCAAAGAAACGAGCTACTCTGATTGCAATCCAATAAATTAGTGACGAAGTTACATGGAATAAAAGACAATTCATAGTGTCTGTAGTGTTGAGTTGAACAAGTAAGCAAGCAGAGAGCTCTGCGGATAAGGAGAGGGATTTTCTAGGATCTAAAAGTTCAATGTAACATTAAGAACAGATGTAAAACAAGCACGTAAAGCACAGTATTGCTTATCGAAAATCACAATTTTTAAGGAAATAATCACACAGATTTCATGACACAGGTTTTCAGAAAATCAGCCAAAATCAAAATTTTCATTCTTCCGCTTCCATCTCTCAAACAAAACTTCAACTATGCTCGATATAATTTATTTGAATTGTGACAATTAGGTATCTTTCAAAAAGGATTCACATTCCTGGAAGATTATTGTAGAGCTTGTTGCATCCACTGGTGACGAATTCTTGAGTCTTGGTTGGAGTTGTCTTCAAGCAACATCTGAATCCGTTTTCAGTCATGCATGATCCATCATAGACAGCAGCACAGTTATGGACACAGAGGTTGTAGCAGGTTTGGTTGGAGCCAAGAGCATAGCTGTTCCACAGTTGTCATAAGATGCTGCTCCTTGGACAGAAGAACAGTATTGTTAACAGATGACTAAGGTGACAGAAGCAGCAGTGGAGAAGAGACAGAAGGCGAGAAGGATGCGGAACATCTGAAAATCGGTCTAAACTCAGACGGCAAATGAAAGAGGAGTGACTTAGCATATTGAATGTGGTCAGAAGAACTGATGAGGACTGACTCCATGGAGCTCTTTTTAAACCGATTCCTGAATAATGTGGGTGTTTCTATGTTTTCTCTCATTCAGTGTCTAACACTGTTGTAGCAACTTTCGATGAAGTTCAAAGCTTTGAAATTCGTTGGACCTGTTTCAATAACGTCGACTCTCTTGAAATACACCCACACATTAAGAGAGGATGCCACATATTAGAATTCACTGCAGTGAAATTAAATTTCCGTGAAACTTTGTACCTGATCTATTTACAAAACGTAGCCACAAAATTCCAAATTAAACTACGCTGTTTCATGCATGTGCTCACTTACTGCTCCATCAACCTTCCCAAAGCTCATTTCAAATATCAAATTTCTTCTGCCATTTTGTGAGAGGAATTGCGTTGGCGTCCCTCTGGCCATGTTGCGAACTAACAGTTATAAATTTGAACAATAGCTTGCCATGTTGAACAAGAAGAGGAAAAATGAATGTCTATTGTTACGGAGCCAAACCAATTCTAACTCTTTGGAGAGCTCCCAGCAAAGATAGAGATTCTGACATAAGAGACAGAAACTTGTCAAAAAATGTTTTATAACACAAGGGTCCTTGTTTTGTAAAAAGATCGGTGTCAAACGGTACATCCCTTGAAACTCATGGCTCTTCGTGCTTTCATAGATCGGGTACAACTTCGAGTTATTGAATGCTTCGTGATGGTTTAGCAGCACACATTTAGAACTCCCACACAATCAGGAATCAGCTTAAAAGGAGTGCAATCTTCACCAGTTCTTCTGACAACAATATGGTAAGTCAAATTAGTTCTCAGCTTCCTACTGAATTTGGGCCGATTTTCAGATGTTCCGCATCCTTCTCGCCTTCTGCCTCTTCTCAACTGCTGCCTTTGTCACCTTGGTCATCTGCCAACAGTACTGTTCTTCTGTCCAAGGAGCAGCATCTTATGACAACTGTGCTCCATGGAACAGCTATGCTCTTGCCTCCAACCAAACTTGCTACAACCTCTGTGTCCATAACTGTGCTGCTGTCTACGATGGATCGTGTATGACTGAAAACGGATTCAGATGTTGCTTGAAGACCACTCCAACCAAAACTCAAGAATTCGTCACCAGTGGATGCAACAAGCTCTACAATAACCTCCCAGGAATGTGAACTATACCATGAGAAGGTGTTTTTATTTATCAATGAGTATTCGATGCATATATGTTTTAGATTTCCACATTTAATAAGTCACCGGTTTATTCTCAAGAACAAGCGGCAAGAGCACAGGTACAAAAAATGAGTCGAACACACAGAAGAAAGACGTGTACCCAGGCACCGTTCGTGGCATCTCTGCAGCTCTTCTACGAATTTCGTTTATTGGTGCATTCTCGGGGAGGTTCAGCTCTAGGAGGAATCGACGGTTCAATTCATTAACCTCTTCCTCGGAATCATCGTCAGACGGCTCATCGTCATCCACAATCATCCCCATGTGCCAGTACTGTCCCGGCCCCGGTTGATCTCTGAACATGTACTGTCCCTGTGCTTGTTGATCTCCATTCTGTAAATGTAGAGTTCTTGGCAATATGAATATGAATTTTCAATCTAGTTATTTTTGAGAGCAATATTACCAGTAAGGATTCTATTAACAAATCGGCGATTGCCGACCGAGCTGGTCGGAGATCTGCGCGTTAACAGGTCATATAGTCTTTACGTGAGAAGAGTTTTTTGATTCAGAAATCAAAAAAAAAATGCTGCATACTCAAACACTTTCTGGCATGATGACGGTCAAATCCACAATTTCGGTAGGCGGTCAGTCGGCCGGCAAAAACTTCCCGGCCGAATGGGAACCTTAAGCGATATTGGCCATATTCATGAAATTTTCTTTGGACATTTATTTTCTCTCAAAAAAGCAATTGAAATATTTTCTGAAATGAAAATGGGAGCGTGAAAATGTACTAATGATTTTTTAAATAATTTTTTTGATGGACAAAGTCGGAAAATGAGTTTGGAACTGAATTTTTTCGAAAACTATAGGTGAAAAACGCTAATTTTTGTATACATTACTTCAATGTCCTAGCTCTATCCATTAACGTGACTTGTATTAAAAAAGGTTTTTGAGGTGCATAACTGCAAATCCAAATTTTAAAATTAGAAAGGAATGCATTTTTATACTATACTATGATAACATTATTTTTTTAAAAACGAGAACATTCAATTTTTACGTTTTTCAGTTATCGTAAAACCTGTATTAGAAGGGCTGGCCCTTCTATTTTTTGAGGGGTCTCTAGGGGGTACTTCAATTAGAGGGGGCATTTGTATTTTTTGTGGGGCCGTCGAGAAAAGAACTTCTATTAGAGGGATATCATTTTTCATTGAAATATTCGTTTTTTTCTATTTATTATCCATGACAAATTCTTCATTAAAAACGTTACTGTCAAATTTAAAACCTGGCACCTGAAAATTCCGCGGGTGACATTCCTATCGATTTACAAGGCCCAGCCCTCAAATCTGATATTACACATATCAAACGGAGTTGATTTCTTTGAGCTTACATGTTAGCGGTATTCCTGAACGAAATTCAAGTTTTTAGTAACTATTTGATCGCTATAATTTCGAGAACTTTTTAAATCAAAAATCCAAAACTTAATTGAAGATACTCGAAAGTGTGTTTATGTTCATGTTTCTCCAGGGTCCCTAGAGCAACGGATATTGACGAACAAAGTACAACGTGTTAGAAGCAGACACCATCCCTCGAACCATCATAAAGTTTTGGTTTGAAAGATTCGAAGAAATACAATATGATCTGGAACATAACCAATATTGAAATGACCTAGTCTCAATATGGATGACAATATTTCAATGATACTAGAGGAAGAGCTCCGAGCTACTTCACGTGCAACATCTTTGACAGTCCACCATTTTAATACCACCGTACCAAATAATGAGCACCAAACGGGAAGATATCAGAGAGTAAGTCAAATCGTTCAACACATTTATTGATTCTCAGAAAAGATACGATATGATCTATCAGTTTCACTCTTCACCGAGGGAACCGGCAGAAGACTGATTCAACAAGTCAACCATTGGAGATAAGGAACGGGCACTTTATGTCAACCATGCCAGTAAGCATTGATGGCTGCCTGTCAAATGAACGGCGGTATCAGACTCAACAGGGAATCTTCAAGAAAAATCCAATTTTTTATTTGAGTAGATAGTGCAAGCTGCTTCCTGACTCCAATACCAGCAACTCTGACTCTACTGCCCTAACTCTGACTCTAATGGAGAGTGATATCTATGCTCCTCGTTTTCACCTCCAGAAAGGCTCGCTGTTGAAAATGTTTCATGACAACAAAAAACTATAAAAATCCTCAAAGAGCCGTAACAAACTCCATTCTTTAGGAATCGAAGTTCTGTCTTGACCACTGTAAACATCCCATCTTGCACTAATTAATTAACACCTTTTCCGATTACTCTAAACTGTCTTTCTGAAAATGAATTTCATAAACGGAAGGATGTCGAAAAATTTTTGGATCACTTTTTCGCCTCCAAGTCTGCAGAGTTCTACGCAAATGGAAATGCCTAACTTCCGCTGTGCTGTCAGGAAGTTACGAACTCCAATGGCAAATAAATTTCTCAATGATTCTTGTTTTCCTTGAAAAAAACTACTTGAAGAAAAGTGACCCACTACTTATTGAACAACCTAATAAAAAAGAAACAGTTGCCTCTCAAAAGAGGTTTATCAAACTGCAGATGGACAGAATTTTCTTAACTTTATCAGTGTTCGTTTTCTCAAAATTTTTAATACATATTCAACGAAATGCTTCAGAAACATTCGGAATGCGATGCGGTCGCATTGCGATTCGATTTTTGATCAATTAAAGAAAGATGCATAAAAATGAGAAAACAATAAAACAAAATATTTGGTCAAAATGATTCACTAAAATGTCCTCCTCTCTGTGGGCCTACAAATTTGGGATACGGTAAAACATCATATTACCGAAGAAAAAAGATAACGATTTTTCCAAGAGATATTTACTGATTTTTTATTAACATGATTTGAACAGAAAAAATAATTGCCACTAAAGGATCGCTATATTCAAAACCAGTGTTCAATTTTCAACAATTTTAAATGATTTAGAAGTGTGGCGGTTGTGGATAATACCACATGTGTCCTTCTGTCGGCATAATTTTGAAATTTTGTGGAAGGCCGTCAGAAGTGGATTCTTGCGACGTTGATGAGGCTGATTGGCTCACTGAGTATGGTCCGAGCCCTGGAACCAGTTGAGCATCGGAATCCAGCATGATGGATTGATCAGAAGAGGAATGCAACGGAGTATTATGAAGCTCTTCTTTAAGTTGTGCAATGTAACTGAAAATAAATACAAATCGAAAATATTATAAAAATGTGCAGTTCAAAAAAGCAAACACAAGAGTTATGGCCAGGGATACATTTCAAAAGTTGCCGAAATCCTCAAATTTCTCACTCGCAAGTTGTCTCAGTTTCTAACAACAAATCTCACGTTTTTGAACGATTTTGCAGCTTTCCTAGTTTGCAAAACTCACTTTATTGCCTTCTTTAATGTCACGATTTTGGACAACTTTGGCTCTCCTACTTGAACTGGAAGTTTGTTTCTGAGATCATCAAATGCACCATTTATTATTTTAATTCGATTTATTTCTCTGGTGGTCGCCCGGGCTCGTGCGATTGCTTTTCTTTGTTCTCTGTTTTCTGGACCATGCTCACGTTCCTGCTGCTCCTCACGTTTCTCCATCACTGTTGACTGGTTTCCCGGAACCTGAAAAGTTAGAAATTAAAATGATGGCTAGTAAAAATGGAGGTTATTGAGTCCTAAAAAACGCAGTTTTCGAAATTCTTACTACCTGTAACAACAATGTCAGAACACTAACCTTCGCTTTCTCTTTCTGTTTTCCAATCAGTTCATATTTATCGATATCTTGAAGATCTTGAAGAATTCGAGCTAATTCGGAATTATCGGACATTCTGTAACCATTAATAATTAGGATCTCTAAAGGAGAATGGAAAACCTGGAGAAAACATACGAGAGGTAAAATTTGGGGAGTGAACCCAAAATAATAATGACTACACTGACTTGAGAGGACTAACTGTTCGGAATTGTGCTCAAGATAAAGAGGGAGGAGGATACCGTACAGACATACTTTATGGAGTATAAGGTATTGAGAGAGCCAAAATATAGTGCATTCGGATTGTTTCTCTGAATGACAAAACCATTCTTTCTGCGTATTTGATTATTCACGATAAAACGGAAAACTAAAAATTATTTTATTTTTGTCTTTCTTAATGGAAAAATATCAAAATATCGGTTCTCTAAATATGTCCAGGAAACTTTTATTGATGTCTCGCGTTCTTTAAAGAATTTGTGTGTCAAAACAAAAATTCCAGCTCATCCCACTCCCAAATGAAAAAGAATTAAAGGACAGAGGAATCAAACAAGAAGTATTATCGCTGTCTGGGAAAAAAAGATTAAAAGCGGAATATATATTCAAATTTTTGTAAAAAATGCAAGTGCAGAAACCACCGTACTTCAAGGCTTTAAATATTGATCTCCTATTTCCCCAATGTTTTGACGATTTACCAAGGTAAATCGGGAAAAAATCATACTTGTGAAATTCCGGGCCGGCCCGCCAAAGCCCGGGCCCGGCCCGGAAGGCCTGGTAGCAAAAATTTTGAATAGGTAAAAAAATATTTAAAATAGGCACGAAGTACAATAGTTTCCGGACTTACATCATTAAGAAAAATTTAACGAGGTATTCCGCTCTCAACCTTTTTTAGACAGCGATAATAACATATATTCAGAATCTAATCAGAGGATACCGTGTACTCATATTTTATGCGGTATACGGTGTTGGGGGGTGGGAAGGAAAATTTAGACTTTGGGAACTGTATCTAACGAATGTGACGGAATCGTTTTACAGGTGTTTTAATTATGTATAATACAATATGACGAAAAACAGTAATAACATTATCTTCTTATCAAAAAACTATAAGAATATTGAAATAAAAATAGTCTTCCGTTTTGAGAATTTGGGCAGAATCTTCGGAAAATGGGGGAAAAGACCATCTTGAGAATGAGGGGTGAAAGAAGAAACTAAAATCAGAATGAGTGATTCCAATGAATAGTAACCATAGCCCGATAATGGATAAACGGAAGGGCGTGGCAAACGACGCACATGCCTACATCCAGAAAAGGACAACCCTCATTGTGTGAGAACCCCGTAGTTGTCGCACTCCGCAGTCCCAGCTCGTTGGTAAGGCTGACTTTACCTAGATAGGGTGCGTCTGAGTTTTTATGGCTTTCACACTTGCATGTTTTCCGGTTTGCAAAAAAATTGCTTTACACGTCCGACATGCTGTGAATTTAGGTGAAGAGGTACCTTGTACAACGAGAAGATGATTCTGAAGAAAAATCATGAGCAGGAATCTGTGAGCATATAAGCACAGGAGGTTTCGGGTATCAAACTGCCAGCGTTCTGACAAAGGAAGGTTTTTTAGACAATGGTTGAGAATTTGCTCAAAATTTGCATATTTATAGTTTGAGACATGCTCTATACGATGACGAAATAATTTTTAGCCCGTTCTCACTCCCAGGCCAAAAAACTTTGTCTGAAAATTTGAGCCGATTTCGGTGCGCTGGGGATTTCGGCTACCCCATCCCTCGTCTACCAATTTCCGCGTGAGAGGAAAATATTGGTTGTGTGATGTTGTGGTAAGAGGGTGACTCATTAGGATTGACTATGCTGGTTCGACCCCCACTGTGGTAAAAATTGTTCGCATTTTTTGAAACTAATTTTTGATTCCAAGTTTGCCCCCGTAGGCACTATATGACACTTTTTGGTTAATTTCAAAAGTTTTCAAAGAAAAAAAGATTTCATGAGAGTTTGAGGAAAAAATATAATGGTCTTTTCGACCGGTTCTTACATCCTCGTATCGTTAAAAACGAAAATTTGAGTCTCTGAAAGTTGCTCAATTTCGCTTTTTTTTGAGGTGGAGTATTGTCAAATCAATCACATACAAGATTCGAACTTATTTTTATAGGTTTCAGTTAAGTTTAAGCGATATTTCAGAAATTAGGAACTGTCAAAGTTCTAACAACAATTAGATTTTGGAGATTTTCTGAGCCCAAAGACAATCTTGGGCTGAAAAAATTTGTCAGAATGCTATTTTTATCGTTTCTGAATAATTGAAACGTTTTTTTCGCACTTTTCAAAAAATTTTCAAAAAATTATTTTCGAAGTGTAAAATTTAGTATTTTGGGAGGTAATTTCCAGTTGTTTAAAATTGATGTTTCTAGCTAAAATCCAGGTCAAAATTATCGTCGGTCAAGTGGCGAAAACACTACGGAATTTTTTAAAATTTATGTATGCGCTTTTAAACCGTAACTCACTATTAATCACCATTTTTGCTTTTTTCTTTCAATTTTTCGCTTGTTTTTGGCAATTTTTGTCTAATTCTTAATAAACTTTAATGTATTTACCTTATAAAACATAAAAACAGTCGTTTTTGGACCGAAAGTATGTAAAGTGTGAGATAAAGGTTGAAGGCACATGCATTAATATGAAAAATACCGTAGTGTCTTCGTTGCTCGACCGACAATAATTTTTGATCTAGGTTCATCGGCGTTGAACAAAAATAATAGTGTGAACAAAGAATTTTGTTTGAATTAGAAAAACACATCCCCGAACGTCTATAACCATTTCACCATTATCCTTTTTCAAAAGCGTTTGAAAACGCAACCAGCAAACATGAAAAAAAAAGAAAAAGAAAAATACCATACGAACGATTAGAAAATTTGGTGGAAATAGTCCTGAATGATTGGGAATGTGGAAGTGCCATTTTTTGGAGGATTCTCACTATAATTGAGATCGAAATTTCTATTTTTGTTTCATATATCTGAATGGTGACCATTTTATATCTCTCTCTTTTTTCTCACTGCAAATCCTCATCCCTCCCAGACACATTCGATTTTTTTCTGATTTCAACTGCATTTTTTGAGGACTTCGGATTTTTTTTGAATTTCTTTGCAAAGGCATGAGGAAAATAGATAACCTACCACACATTTCTATACCATAAAAATTTTTGGTAAGTCCCTTTTAGGTGAATAGGGATCTTCTAACACAGGTAACAATTTTCCGGTACCTCGACTGGAATGTGTTTTGAAAAATTATCAAATCAACGATACAATGCTCAATCAGCATGTGCGTCTCCATTTAGCACATGAGATGTGAATTATTAACAAAATGAGTTTGTTCCCATTGCACACGTCTTTCCATAGTTCAAGTATACAGTCATCACTTTACCTCTTCTGATTACAATGGGTTTATTGCTATAAAGTGTCCAGATAAAACGACCAGGTGAATCTATCTGAAGAAGGAACGGGGTATATAAAGACGATCGAGACCCAAAACCAGAAACATTGTATCTAACATGGCATCCCGATTGGAAGCCTATGATACATTTTGATTTTTTCTGTTAATTCAAAAAATCGCCCTCTCATGAACACTCTCTGCTATTCTTCAATGTTTCCGTATAATTCGAACCTAGCTTTGATTATTCTTGTCAATGTTTCTTTGAAGTTTTTTTTTTGATAAGTCTAAAAACTGAGCGAAAGTTTGAGCTTCCAAAATTCCTGGCTTGTCATTGACTACCTCGACTCTATGAAGTATTTGGAGCCGTACGATTTCTGGAAAGTGATCAACCCAAAAATTCTTCTAACCGACTTCAATTTTGCGAGATTTCTTGGATATATTTGGGTTAATCCTCCACTTCCCAAAGAAGAAGCTGAACATAGACAGACTGATTAACTGGTACAGTTGGAATGAAGATTTTGGAGAGAAGAACATCAAGAGAATAGAGGACTTACCGCTGTTCGCAGAATCCCTGTGGTCCAAGTAGATGAAGGGGGTGGAGGAACAAGGAAAGACCAATTAGAAAGACGACACAACAACAACCAATTAAGCATGGATCCTGGATAGTTGGTCATTCTTGAGATCTTTGTGGAAGAAAACAGTCAGGAGTTTTTTTTTTCAAGTGTCGCCATTATGGACAAATTAGGTTTGTGAAGTAAGTTTTTTTTTGGAATTTCATTATTTTTCGAAACAAGTATTTTACAGATTGCCCTAGGAGTTCCTGCCGCCGTCTTCATCAACTAAACAACGAATCGATAAGCCAACACCAGAACAAAAGATCCAACTCAGTCAGGAACGCATGAATCTGTACAATGAATGGTTCAACGAGATGTTTCTTCCTTTAAGCAATAATTTATGTAAAAAATGAATTTTCCTTCAGAAAAAAATCTATTGTTGTAACATTTCACACAAAATAAAAAGTTTTTTAAATAACTTCACCTTGGAGGTCCTCTGACCATTATCATCGCATTCAGCAAACCCAGGAATTTCTATAACCCTGGAATCTAGAGAATCTTACCCATCCGAAAAACACTTCAAATTTTTTTTATTCAGTTCCCTACCATTCACTGTGAAAATTTCAGCTTCTTAATATTAATATATATTCAAACTCGTTTTGGCAAGGAGATGGTGAATAAAATAAATTTCTATCGATATTATTCGAAATAAGATATTGCAGATCTTCAAATGGTCGCAGTTAAAATGATGACTTTCACAATAAAAACCGCAAAATTCATTCTCGTCTCCACCAAAACAGGTCATAATAGATTTCAAACAACCATCATGTCGAGAGACAGCTAGAACAATCATTCTGGTGGAGGCGAGAATTGTTAAATAGGAAAAATCTCATTCAGAAAGATCTTTCAATCCCATTTTTCTGTTCTTTCTCTGTAAAGTTGCAATCCGAAATGAGCAAAAACGCTGGGAAGAATTGTTTAGAAAAATTTTCAAAAAATAAGATACCTTGGCTGACCGCGCCGGAAATCGACAAGTATGACATTGACCGATATTTCTATTTGTACAGTGCAATTCGTATACTCGGTCTCTTAAAAAAATTTTAGGTAACTTTAGTTGTTGGTAATTTTCTGAGCAGGAGGTTGAAAAGTCGAAGCCCGTAGGATTCAATTAGAGAAAATACGGTATTTCATTTTTGCCTATTCCCTTTTTTGTTTGTTTTCTTCCGATTTGCATGAAAAATTAGCTGAATTTTTTATGAAGTAAGAAATCAGCCAAAAGTAGGTCAAAATAAATTAATGTCAAAGTACTGTAGTTTAAAGGTCGACGATGAAGAAGATCCAAAAATAAAATCACAAAGGAAAAAAATGTTAACGACGTTTATCTCCATGACAACAATTGTTTGATATTTTGCCAAGTGAGCTGCTTGATTGATTGAAATGCAAACTTTTCACTCAAAACCAACGAAATGTTTTATTTCATCAAGAAAAAATAATTGGATACAATGAGAAAGCCAGACACCGTGCCGTCTCACTAGTCAGTATCCTTCTCCCTTCTTTTCATCATCTCATCTATTTTCTTCTGTTCTTCTCAGCAGCAATCGCCCGTTTGTCTTTTCCGTTGCCATAGCTTTTTCGTTTTGGCTTTGCTGTGAGATCAATTTTTCCTTTTACTAGTTTGAAGGCATACTGACATGCAGCTCCTTTAGTTTGACGTTTGCAAGATGTCTTCTAATTTTATTTATGTATCTTAAAGGAAGTACCAACCATTTTTCATTTTAAATCCATTTTCTGTGCGAAAAATGATAAAATTGAATATTCAAAAATTTAAAAATTAATTTTTTCTAATGAACTTCAGTGACCAACTTAATTAGGATTTTTCAAGTTTCTGACTTAAATGTTTTCATTTGAATTTTTTGTCTCGCTCTCCTATCTATTTGCTATCGGTTTTTTTTCCAATTTTCAAGTTTTCAATTGTTTCAAACATTTAAACACCATGAGAGTTCGAATAAACAACAAAATAATTTATCGCCATGTTACAAGGGCCAAACAAGATTCAAACCAGCCAGAATTAACCACCTCCTCCGCGTCTGAGTCAGCTTCAACAAGTTTGAAACATTCTCAGAACATTGAAAGTCTAGAAGCGTTGGCTTCGAGATCACGCAAAAGGCAATCGGAGGAGGTAAGAATATTTCTTGCTTTTCCGAGCGGATTAACTTTTTTCTTCAATAACTTGAATTTTTGAGCTGTTCGAATTTTTCAATCATGGATTCGAACAAGCTCTAGCCACAAACGTTTGAAGAAGCACAAAAATTTTGGTTTCAGGATTTCTTGGAAACGAATGTGGTACTGGCTCCAGGATACCAATGGCCACACTGATGGGTCGGAAATATCGACTCAACAAAAACAATACAGCGAATGCCAACCTGAACCTGGTCCTTGTAGGCTTGGGAATGGATCTCTCATCGTCGATGGAGTCAAGGAAGAGACACTGGAAGAGTTATTCAAGAGCGATGAAGAAGCCATTAACGAAAGACAGCAGAAAAGAATGCGAGTCATAAAAGAAAAAATGACTGAAAATTTGGTTGAAGATGAGCAAGCACTTGAAGAGAAGCAAAAGCGAAGAATTCGAACCATCGAAGCAAAAAGGCTGAAAAAAAAGAAGAAGAGGGAAAGGAGGAAGCTAGCGATGATTCTTAAGAGATAATTCTGTAAATCATGAAAAACTCACGTTTCGTTCTGATATGTTTTTCTAAATAAAAGAATTCGATATTTGGGAAAAATTGGTGTTTCTTCTTGAGTTCCACTGAGAAAGTCGAAGAGTGTGGAATGATTGATTTAAAGAACGAAAAAACGTTTTCAGGACACAGATTCGAAATTCCAAGCTGCTCGCTCCTCTAGCAAATTCAGGATTATTATACCGTGAATTTTCAGATGAAAACCCACCTTTTCACGTTCACTTTGAAGTCAATTATCTTGATTCATATAATAGATATGAAAAATTCGTCAACTGATAAAATGTTATTGATATTAGGATAAACATTTTTCAGTTAACAAAATTTTCATATCTATCATGAGAACCGAGATAATTGAGCTTAAATCACACTTCTTCTTCATCTGAACAATTTTTTTTCCTTCTTTCATCTCATCCGCCCACAATGCCTCTTCTCCGGTCTCTCATCTGTTTCTCCTAGTGTCTCCTGCAACATAACGGATGTCCTCTCACATAACACAAACAGATGGCTATCTGCACTCTCTCAGTGGCCCTTCGACTTGCTTCTCTATCTTGCATCTACTCCCCCCCCCCCCCCTCTCTCTCTCTCTGTCTTCCTAGTATCTTCATATATTGCATCGCTTTTTGTTAAACCACCGGGTGTCGTGGCGGGCGCCTGTGAGCCAGCTTCTTGGCGGTAGACAAGTGTGGATGAAGTGAGAGGAGGAGTCCTGTGTGTATCGCTGTCTGCGGCGACCGAGCGTCCGTGCCAAGCGCTACGTCGCCAGGGGTTGTCTGTCGGAGGACGGACGGTCCCGGGCGCATAAGGAGTGGTCTACGGCTCAGGGCTGAAAAGCAGCAGGCAAAAGCCACCGCGCGGTGCAGTGGCCGGACAGCGCTTGTGAGTTGACACGTGCACACAGCCTCTTCGATACCTTCAGACCACTTGTCATTTTTTAAATGTTTTTTTGGATTTTGAACAATTGGCAAAATCAAGGACTAAAAGAATAAAACTTAATGAATTCTTGTGACAAAAGCATTAAAAAATCTGCCATTATTCACAAAAGCGCAGACATTTTAGTCACTTCTTTAACTGTGGGCATGTATTATTTAAGATCTTTTAAACTATCATGTTCTCATCGTTTAGTCGGGATAACATCTCACTGAAATTTTATGTATTTTTACTAATCTCATAGTAGTGCTTTATCCTTTATTACCAATTACTGATTCCAGAGTGAGAAGACATCATCGTCTTCGTGCTGAATAAATACGAATGTTCATATTGACCTAATAAAAATAACTCCAAAAAATGATTTATAACGTTTTGGAACAGAATATTAAAAACTAAGATTATCGAGTTTTAGAATAGATTAACAATGAAATTTCTTCTGCTTCGAAATATAGAGCAAAACTTCGATGACTCAAAAAATTCTCAATCATTTTTGAAGTTAGTTTAATTTTTTGGGTTTTTGTGATTTTTGTGATTTTTGTGATTTTGTATATTATTAAAAGGTAATTTTGAATGGTTTAACAATTTTTTTCCAAATCAATGATAACTTTTGCTCGGGGTCCTTCTTAAAAACCACTTTAGTCGCATGACGGCATTCTTTTGATTCCATCCAGGAAGAACAGATACTGTAGTCCGATGCTGCAAATTTGATGACCGGTACGAGAAAAACGGTATTGTTTTTTGAAGAAACCAGACTTCTAATACAACATCACTAAACTTGCACTTTGATCTTAAAGTTGATATTCTTATGAAATGCGCCAAAAACTGTCATCATTGACCCGATGGGTCTCATTTCTTTTCAGAGATATTAGAGATAGTCAACACACAAAACACTCAGCTTAGTTTGAGAAATATTTTGTCGGTTGACAACGTTTTCATACCTTCGACAAGAACTGAGACACATTTTTTCGAAGTTAAATGTTAGAGGCTATTCTATCACATAATCTAAGAAATGAAAAAAGCACTGTAAAAACTAGAAGCGCAATGAAAAATTTTGAATTCAACTCAATAATTTTTCATTGACATTTCTATCCTTACAAGGGAAGTCTTTTCAGACAACGGTTGAGAATTTGTTCAAACTTTTGTCGTTGGTACTTTTTGGCACGCTAATCACAGAACTGAAGTCAGTTTTTTCAACACGGCCCTGTGAAAAAAAGTTATGGGCTGTTTAAGTGATTTCAGTGCTAATTTCTCACATGTGGAGTGAATTTTTGAAGGAGTTAATAACAGTTCTTCGGAGCTTTTTGTATGTAAATAGTACTGCTCTACAATCTGAAAAAGTTTCCTCATTATAAAAAATATTTTTTGAAAAAATGTCGCATGGGGTACCCCTTTGGCAATTTTTACAATATTTCGAAAATTTGCAAAACGAGCTAAAATGAGTTCCAAACGTAGATAAATGATGAAATGCGTATTTTCACAAGATGTGAAGCATGAATACCTCTCGAAATCACAAATAAGGAATTTCTTCAGAAACTTCAATGGATCGTAGACTTCGAAATTGACAAGAAGAACTCAAATAGTTATAAATTGAATAGTTTCTGATTTATATCGCTTTTTTCCAAGGCAGAAATGAGACAATCTAGGGAAATCGGACTAACAATTCGACTAGCAAAGACTTGAAAGTGGGACTTCCAGAAATTTTCCAGAACATCTACCAGTTATTTTCGAATTTTATCAAAAATAATGATATTTTCCAAATAAATGACAATCTGAATAAAATAAAATTTTTATTCAATTTTTTGAGACTTCCAGAGTTTCAGAAAAAAAACAAAAAAGGTTCTGGAGAGGGGGATCGAACCTGACCCTTGTCAGACTCGTCCGTCCCTCCTCATCACTATACCACTGCTGGCTGCTCTCTCCTCGTTCCTCAATTAATATAAGAAAGGGGGAAAGTGTGGCGCTTAAAAAACGCTTAAAAGCACGTTAAAGTTTCAGACGCAAATTTTCAGCTTCTAAAGGCCGAGTTGGAAAAACAAAAAATGATGCCATCTTCAGAGGCTCATATAGTATACTTGTTCAAATTTTCAACAAATTCTCAACAGGTGTCTGAAAACACGTCCCTTGTTAGTGAAGCGACGTTTTTTTTCTGTTACTCACTTCGGGTCCCCGTTTCCTTGCACTTTGATTTCTCCTTCACCGCCAGCAACAGGGAATGTGATAGTGCATCCTTCATCAGTGAACTCTCGCTGTAACTTGCCATTGAAAAAATGATTAAAGATTCAAGAAATATACCTTAACATCATCTTCCAAGCGGCGCCCGTCGATGTAAATCTCGTTCTCGTTCTTATCTGAATTTTGGAGAATTGTCAATCGAAATCAGAAATTCGACAAACCAAAACAAACACGAGTGTGTGTCTCCACAATCTCCCACGTTGGATAATGAACATTGTGGTTTTTCACATAGTCTGCTAGAGGCATATCATTGACCTGAAGCTTAACAATTATATACTCAAAACTATGTAATCATACATGATATTTCAGGAAGTACCCATACTTTTGAGTGCCAGTGGTCACTATGCGGAAGTTCAACTTGTTCTTCTTGAACAGATCCTCCCCAGCAAATTTGTCCTCCCCGCAATTTTTCTTGAGTATAACCTGAAATGTTTTTCACTACTTCTCATATTAAGAAGTTGATAATTTTATATTTCAAAGAATTTTCGAAATGCCTTTTTTTACTTTGTTTAGATAATCATATGGTTCGGTATACGGAAAATTGTGAAAAGGACAAACTTTCCCTTCTAATAATTATGCAGTGACGTCTATTTCAAATGCCAGCAAAATGCAGTTTCAAATTCTATTTATGGTTGGCAACAAGCGCACACAACACGTGGTTAGGGGCGATGATTATTGAGAAAAAATTTTGAAGGCATCAATTAACCTACCCTATTTGTTGTGATAGAAGCCCAAACTATACATCTATTTTGAGCTCAATTATCTTTGCTTCTCCAAAAAATATCAAAAATTGTTCAACTGATGCGTTATTTATCATAAGATCATCAATATTTATCAATTGTCAAAATTTTGATATCTCTTATTGCAACCGAGATAATTGAGTCCAAAGTGCTCGTATAGAGAAGTCTTCTATGATGGGGAAAACGGTATTTAAAAAAATTATCATTGAATCCAATATTAAAAAATGCGTCAACTTGATATAACATACATAAAGCTTTACAAAACGGCTTCCAATTGAAATGAAAAATATGTATGTGAACTTCAGAAAATTAAACAATAGAATGCCGGGTAGCAAAAATCGAAGATGGATCAAAATAATTCGAATTTTTGTTAACTTAGAGACAAAACAAAACATTAGAAGCGCGTTTTAACTGTCAACTTCAAGGCATTGTTTCTCGCTTAGCATGAACGACATCAAAAAGTTGTCAACAGATAAAACGTTCATCTGAATGTTAACAATATTCTGTCAGTTGATCATTTTTTGATACCAGTTAAAGTAATTGAGATATATTCAGTCAAAATTGTTTTACTAACCCGCATCATCCTGTTTTTGGACTTGAACATTATTCTGGTACAAAAAAGTCGGAACTGACAAAGAAAAACGCCGGATTACAAAAGCGAAATGTTATGTCCTTGCGGTGTATGAGACGAGGGATAAACTACTAGTTTATTTACATAGAGAGAACCATTTAATACACAGCTCAATAAGCTTTTATAGGCAGTTGTTATCGCCACGTAGATCTGAGGCTTGACGTTCTCCAGGACGGTCACGCCACAACACGAAAGGTTTCACAACGATAACTACCGTAACCTGAACATATGTGCATATTTCGAACTTATTATCTTGTTTTTCGTGAGTTTTCTTTTTTTCTATCGAAACTTTTTGTTATCCAACTTGTTCAAGAGAAAACTCAACTAAAAGCAGAGAAAATTGAGATGATAAATGTGGAAAAATTAAGGTTACGGTAATTGTCAGTGTGGGCCGTCAGCGTTCTTTCTCCACAGCTCCAATTTTTTTGTACCTGAGTTATAAAGCAAAACTTGGTTTTCAGTTTTTTGAGAAAAATCAAATTTCAGAACATGACTCGAAAAATTGGGACAGTCACGAGATCTGATTTCAATACATATTTCAATATTTTGGACTCTACAACAAAAATAAATCGTTGAAAGTTTCTAGAAATTTGAATAGTATAGCCACATCGTCAATTTTATAGAAAACCAGAAACCTACCTCGTCATCCACCTTGATAATCTTGAATGGTCCTTCGTGCTCGATCTTGACTGACATTCCCCCAGATTTGAACGGGGCGTAAAACGTCCACGGGGACATTTTGAATGAGAATGAACAAAGGGAGAAAGACAAAATCGCAGAGAAGTTTCTGGAAAGTTGTGATTGTTCTGAAAGAAACTATTTTCGAAACTTTGAAAACAAAAAATAGTAAGAGAGAAATAAGGAGAGGGAGATAAAAACGTATTCGAACATAATTAGGTGGTTGGTAAGAGTTTGATTCGGAAATCACAAACTGCAAATGTCTTATTTTCGTATGTTGGACATTATTTGCTCCGCATACTTAAAGCCCCGCCTACTTAGCATCATGTTATGATCGAAGTGCGTCATCCGATTCTCCAAGGGATATCAAGTCATTATTTGCAGAGATTTCGAAACTGGGAGCATTATAATGGGAACAAGCTTTTAAGAGTCTATTTTTTTGAAGAAAATTATTCAAAAACGCAGAAGAACTTTTACAGAAAATTAACAATGAGAAAATCGGGATGGAAAGGATAGAAAATGATTTTCTTTTCATCGAAAATCACAAACAAAACGTTCATCTGAAAACACGGAAAAACGTAAAATTCTCTGAAATTATAGCTATTTCCTATATTAGAGACCCACCCAGCTGCACAATTATCTTGATTGTTGTGAAAGATATTAAAAATGTGTTAAATGATAAGATATTTATCATAATCTAATCAATATTTCATCTATTGGCAAATTTTTTATATCTGTCACAGAACTCAAGATAATTAACTTTGAAGTTGATGGTTTGGGTGGGCATCTATTTGAGGAAATACGGTAGTACAAAATTTGGTTTTTGAAATTTGTAAAAAACAACTGAGAAAAAAGAGCTTTTCAGGAAGAACAGTCTTTTGTGTAGTTGAAACCGTTGTCGGATGATTAGGACCGTGCTGGGAGCCTTAAAACTATGATCAGGATATTGGTCATTTGTTTGTTGGAACCAAAATCCAATGATGGGACCGGCAGTCCTACTATTAGATCGTTCTTCCCGTAATGTGTCGAAATATTCTATACTTTTCAATAATAATAATTTATTGATTCAGGACTATCAGTCACTTATAAAATCAATGTGTTACAAATTAAAGAAATGAGTTAGAAATTATGTTTGTCTAGGAACAGGAAAGAAGATAAATTAACATGACTTAAATTAGTTTTAAAAGAGATGGATGAAATCAAGGGTGGGAACACGGTTTTTGGAAGCGAGTTCCAGCAGGATATAATACGGAAGGTAAGAAATTGAGCAGAAAGTTTTGAAGCATTTTTTAATGTACAGAGAATGTAATATGGGTGGCGTCTTAGATGATTATGATGAAACGGGACAATGAATAGATTATGGGCAATTGCAATTTCCCGGGAAACTAGAGTTTTATACATAAAAACAAGATCGGATAGAAGTCGACGGTACTCTAAGGATTCTATATTGTGATCACGGAGACAATCAAAGTAGGATATATAGGGATAGTTGAACTTCTTGTAAAATCGGAACAGGAATGACTTTTGGACGCCTTTAAGAAGCTTGATTTGCTCCTTGAGGACGGGGGAGAAAACAATTGTACCATACTCAAGAATGGGGCGAATGTAGATGACAAAATATTTTACGAAAATATCCATTTTAGACCGGCGGAGAACAATAAAGAAAATGTTAATTCGTTGGTGTGCTTTCTTGAGTGTGGTAGCGAAGTGGTCAGAGAAGGTCAGTGACGAATTGAGAATGACTCCCAAATCACGAATCCTCTGACTTGGCATACTAAAACGTGATGAATCAAAAAATTACTGAGTATTACTGCTGATCTTTCATATAATTGTTTTTTTTTTCGTTTTTTTCCGGTCTGCCTTTTCCATGTTTTCTACTTTTCAAGATCCCCCAATTTTTCAGTTTCTTACTTTTCTTCAGTAAAAGCTTCGATGTCCTTTGATGACGTTTTTGCTAGGATTACGTCTAGTCTAAAGTCCTTTCATCTTTTTTCCCCATTTTCGTTAATCCGATCCTCTTTTTTTCAAAATCCCTTTTTCTTTAACACCTGCTTTTGAAAAAGGAATCGTTTATTTTTGTTAGATGTGCATGGAAGGAAAGAGGGCATCAAAGAAGGAATCATCCATCTGCGACTTAATGAGTGGATGAAGAAGAGAACCAAAAAGATGGAGAAAAGCAATTTATGGCATTCGCTTGCGGATCCGGTGACTCCTAATCATTTTTCCCGTTTTTTCCCGCATTATTATTATACTTGGCAGTACACAATGCAGGTCTCCGCATATCGCATATAATCCGACAAAACCTTTTTTGTACTCTAGCATGTCTGCTATTTTATTTATTAATCCTTATTTTCCGTGTGAATTTTGAATAGCTTTACTCTTTGGAATTTTGCATTTTCCTTTCTATTCCATTCATTAATATATGATATATGATTCTCAGAAAGTCGCAACTTTATTTACATATTCATAATGAAGGAGAGTGCGTGTAGTTCGATGAGCATCGTTCTCCTGCATGCTCCTTTTCGCTTCTCTCCCCGCTGCCTTCTTCTTCTTCCTCTCCCTCTTGTTTTACTTGTTTCACTTTTTTTGCTCCTACTACTGCTACTTTTTCTTCTTCTCCTTGTTCCCCTTCTTCCTATGCTTCTTCTTCTTCTTGTTATTCTTCTACTTGCCCCCTTCTTCTGCTTCTTTTGCTTCTTTTTCTTTTTCTTTTTCTTCTCATGTACGTCTCTATATTTCGCATTGCACTTCTTCTTTTTTGCCACAGCTTTGCGCAACGTCCTTTGCCTCCCCTCCCAATTTTTTCTGCTCTTTCGCCCTTCCTTTCGCGCCTCGCCGTATCGATTCCCTTTTTCGTCCACACTCTTTTTCCCCTTAATCCGCCCTTTACTCCCCCTGCTTCCCCACATCCTCTCTTCATTTTGCTCACTTACCAACACCTTCAGAACCTCCTGACACGATTTCGAGTGCCCTTTCGACAATGGAGAAAAAACCAGAAATTACCGAGAAGCGATGTGAGTTAAAACTGTTTAGGGACTTTAGAGAAAACAGAAATTTTTTATGAATAAGTGCCACAAAACTCATTTTTGAGAATCAACCGATATTTTCTCTATCAATGCGAGTGAGCTGAAGAGGGATATGCAATTTATTACGGGTTGGAAATGTTCTAGGTTGTTTAGCATTCTCGGCTCAGCAATGTCAGATCGCTGTACGTGTGAACTGTGTGTCCTTTCCGCAAAAATTTCGAAAAAAATCCTCGACTTTTTTTAAATGAGTTTCTGGAGATTTTTCAAAAAATGCGCAACGCGGAATTTTGGAGTCGCGTCGCTGACATGTTTTTTCTAATTTTTTTCAGCCATTTTGAAGTGGTGGCCTAACTTTCGCAAGTTGAGTTTTCTAGGCCATCATTTTTTCAGGGATGTTCGAAACGGAATTCGGAATTCCGAAAATTCCGAAAATCCCATTTTCGAAATGAAATTCCAACCGGAATAATTGCTAGAAAAAAATTCGGAATGAAATTCCGGTCGGAATTTTTCCGAAGCGTTTTTTTCGGAATAAGAAGTTTTTGGACTACGGTGTGTCGCGAAAAAACTGCTTGCGGGCAGATATACTTTCAATTTTTTTGCGTTTTCACTGACTTTTCAGAATCTTTTCGTAAATTTTCTATTAATTTCAGCGTATTGTGATGGAAAAATGGGATTCCTACTTTAAAATTTGATTTTTTAAACATTCCGAAAATTCCGACACTCCGAAATTTTTCAAATCGGAAAATTCCGAGATTCCGAAATTTTAAAAAATCGAAAACAAATTTCGAAAAATTCCGGAAAGGTCATTCCGAACATCCCTGCATTTTTTCGCCTAGAGTTGGGCTGATGGTCGCCTTGTGTGTTTTCTTGGTCATTTGGAAGTGGTGGCCTAACTTTTGCGAATTGGGTTTTCTAAACCACCAGCTTTTCTTCGGCCTAGATTTTAATTTTACAGTTGTTTAAATTACCTAGAATACACACCAGGCGATTATCAGACCAATTTTAAATCAGAAAAGTTGGTGGCTTAGAAAATCCGAATTTCAAAAGTTAGTTCTTCTGTTAGAGGGCTTGCTTCAAATAGAGTTATGTTGCAAACTTTTTTTTGTCATATAACTGCGGAATCACTTTTTCTATTGATATTTTTGGCCTATATATTTGAACGTAGTTTAAAATTTCAGATCGGCCTCTAATGGCCTTACCTCCAAAGCTTACTCCGGAACGTGGATTGCTGATAACACGTTTGTTTCACTCGAAAAACATCAACTTTAATAATTATATTTTCCAGCAGATCTTCGCGATCGTATAGAGCGTGTCCAAAAGGATATCATGGAAAACTCGTCGTTTGCTTACAACAAAAAAAGTAGGGTCTCCCAACATTATCATAGTGGAAACTAATTCCTAAATTTCAGAGTCAGCTGGACCTCAAGAGCCAACTTTGAGCTCCACGAATGACAGCGCAGTCCCAGAAAAAGCAACCGCCGGGGCTAAAAGACACTCAACGTCGGAGTATCACGGTTTGTTGCTTTTACAATTATAGCCGGTGGCCATAGAGAAAGCCCAATAATAGCCATTACGAACTTTCTTATCAACCAACAATCTAATTTCGAATAAGAAACAATTATGATTATTAAATTGCTGGTATTACAGAAAGAAAACGCTGCAAAGACGTCGACGAGGAAGCGATTATGGCTGGAATTGATCCAAATCTCTCGATGATTCCGCTTCTCTACGCGGACAAGCCACAAGAAAAGAAGCAAGCAGAAAGTTCTGGTGAGCACGCTAACAGAATTAATTTTGAAAAACAGGTCACTGTAAAAGCTGTATCAAGAGCCTCAGTTGTCTTTAATTTTGAAGCATCTTGAAAATAGTTAAAAAAGATTTTTCAGTAATCTTGTTCGGTTTAAAGTTAGAAATATTGCTATTCAGCTGCATCGGCAACTGCATCACCGAATACTCCAGCACAGGAAGTCGTTGCTAAGAATGGAGACGAGGCCGAGCAAGCCGATTCAGACACCGAAGCAGACTAAGAATCTCAAAACATGCTACCTCTCCGAATTTTTGATGATTTCAACATTTCATTTGAATCTTCTCCCCAGTAATCCAAATAACAATATCACTACATAAAATAATCTCCATTTATGCTTTTTCACCTACCGTGTTTCCTGTAATAAAAGCCCACCTAAACCGTCCGTTTTGTGCTTAATTATCTAGATTCCTATCGAACATATTGAACATTTGTTAACTGAAAGAATACTGGTGAAAGTATGGTAAACAATTCATTAGTTGACAACTTTTTGATATCTTTCAAATGAATCAAAATAATTGAGCTCAAACATACCGGCTTGAGCAGGCTTCTATCTGAGAAAATGCGGTATATAAATATCAATTATTTCTTGATTTCCCCCCTCCATGATTTTGGTCCCTGTTCACCAATAGAACCCCGACCATTAATTGTATTGACACTATTGATAGTGATAACAAGTGATGCAACCAAGACACGCAATTTTGGTTAACTTCTTGTTATGTAGTAATTATCTAATATCTGATATAACTTTGATTTGTCACTAAATTTATACAAACCAAATAATCATCATAATTTATTTCACCTGCCTATTCACTCATTTACAGTTCAATAAAGCAAAATAATCTCCAAAAGTTTTTTTAAAGGGCGCTTAAAAATTCGGCTCTTTTTTTCAGAAGCTGGAAAATTTTGTCCTCGAAATTTTTTTCGAAAATATATAAAAAGCGGAAATTTTCCGATGATAAACGTTTATCAAATTTTTTCGGTACATTTTCACGAAAACTAGAAAAATGGGAATCCCGATTTTTCTTCTAATAATAGCTGTGCATAACAGAGAACTGTGGGGGTCTGTTTGGGTGCGATTTAATTTTGCATGCTGGCATCTCTCACTCTCTCGTCGAAAGAGAAAAGTCTGTTTTCTCTCACCGGCTCCCTCTATATGATAATTTAAAGGGATTGGTAAACATGAGAGTATATTGTCCCGCGCGGGTGTTTACACTAATTCAGATGTAATATTTTGAATTAATTAATTAATTATCTGTTTTCATGAATATTGAAAGTTGTATAATGTTACGATAGGTTTTTCAGACTAAACTTTTTCGAGTTTGAAGCCATCACAGATGTTTGCAAGAGTTTGAAGCCATCACAGATGTTTGCGTGCTGGAGGTATTTGTCTTTGTAGTCTATTTCTCTCATCTTTATGTTAAGGGAAGTGAAACCATTGCCTCGGCCGCCATCACCACCTTCCGAAGGAGTCATCTCAACCTTCTCCACGATATCTGTCTTGATGTGAAACCTTCTGCTTCCTACAATGCTTCCATTAGAAGTCAAAAATACCTGGCTTGGCTTGTCCACAAAGAAGGAGTGCAAATCTTCTCTTCGTCGACTTATGGGGAGAAGAAAATATGTTTTTTTCTAAGGCTCTTATTAATTTTTAGGTTTCCGAATATCTCATGGACGGTCTCATTCAGCCATGTCCGATTTCGATGAGGGACAGATCATCGAATATCATGTGGGTTTTCAAAAAGCTGGATAAAGTTTTTATTCAGAGTTTCTATTGGCATGCGCATGAGTGTAAATATGCGGGAGATTTGATTACTGGAGAGGCGACGGGTGCAGAAATCAGAGAAAGAGATGAGGAGAAGTTGAAGGTTTTGAAGGAGCATTATCCAATCAGAGTTGTGTGGGAGTGTGAAGTCGACGAGGAACTCCGTCAAAATCAAGAAATGGCTCAATTCTTTGAGAATTATGAGGATAGGGTAAATTATATTTCTCGTTTTTATCAAAGTATACTTTTAGGGTATACTTCAAATGGATCGTGCACTTTTCGGAAGGACGGAGGTTTTTCAGCTCGAAGTCAACAACAAGAACAAAAAGTTGTGCTATAATGATGTGGTCAGTTTGTACCCATTCATTATGAAGACCCACACCTACCCCATCGATCCACCAAGGGAAGTGAAAGAATTCAAATTGCCTATGACGAAGCTAGATGACATATTTTGGTGGATTTTTGCTATGCAAAGTGATGGCTCCTAACGGTTTGTTGATTCCCGTTCTACCAGACAAGTCCACTGGAAAATTGATTTTTGGGGTATGCAAAGTATTACTTTCTGTTGAAACTTAAAAACTATTTTTTCTAGCATGCGCTCGAGAAGAGATTTTCTGCTAAAAAGAACTATATTAATTTCAGATGAATGCTGCTCATTATTTGCATTCAGTCTGCATCAACTGGAAAACTGCTGATTTGAAGGAAGTCCACTAACATCTAGAAGAACTTGGATTCGTATTATTTGTTTTCAAATATCAAAATCGAATGATCCCCTCCATTACCTAAGTTCAAGAAAAAAGTAAGACCATGTTCCAGTTCCTATATAATTCTACTTTTCAGTAGTCGAACTAAATTGGTTGGCAGGATCAATATCGAAACATATGGCATCACAATATAGAGCTCGTCAATCCAAAAAATCGTCTGGTCTACGCTGGAAGGAAGGCAAAATACAAGTAACCTGCGGAAACTGTTAATATAAGAAGTAGTGAATTTCAAAATTTTTAGTTTTCATCGCAAAACACTTCGATTTCCAAAATTTCTGTGAAGTTTCAGTAATTTTGCATTTTCTTTGCAGAGCGAAAAAAAGCGTGTTTTTTCACATAATAAACGATCAGACTGTGCAACTGGTATTTTCTGACTTTTTTTCAAGGTTCGATTATTTCTGTTTTCAACTTTTCATACTTTCTATTTTATACGTATTATAATCATTTATTAAAAATACAAATGGTTCACAGAAATATAACGTTTCAATTTCTGGGATTTTTCCCAGAATTCGAACGGTTCGAGTTCTGGGATTCCAAAAAAAGAGAAACGAATGTGGAAAAAGGGGGCATAAAAATTATAATGATGGGAGATAAAAACAAAAGAAACATGAAGAAGTGTGCTAGTTTTCCATTATCATGTCATCCGCAACAACTGGATTCGGTGGCATTCTTCCAGCATTGAATCCTTGAGATTTCAAATATTGTAGAATCGTCGTGTGTTCAGTGTCAAAATCAATGTTTCCGTGAGATATCGTGGTAGATGATGATTTTTCTTTGATAAGTTGCAACGTTCTTAGATAAGCTGCAAAACCAAAGATAATTCAAGTATTCAACTTTACGTACATTTCTTTCCATAGCTGGAAACTGAATCTTCAAAATTGTCCTTGTTGTTTTGCGAGAACATTGATCCTCCATGTTTGAAGAGACTCAATATGAACTCACAACTTTCCAATTCTTTTTTTTTCAGGAAGCTTTTGTCAATAATAACAGCCATCCGTGATTTATTCAATGCCCTCGGCAATGTATTCATAGGACAAACCGTAGAAAATATTACTTTATCTTTTATCTTGCTTTTGAACAGCATGTCTATATTATATTAGAAAAAATCTGTAGAACAGAGGAATTCTAGAACAACAGAAACCAATCAACAAAAAATCCAATCAGCTCTTGGCACGTATCTCGATACGTGTAATCTAACATCTATGTCGCGTGTGAATATATATCTATGTTGCGTGTGAATTTATACAAGTAAAAACTGGATCATTCAGGATACCTATGATCCATCAACATTCCAACCTGACATTCGCCGTCCATGTATTGAAGGTGTTCAGGAGAAATGCTTGGCTCTCTTCAAACATGGAGAATCAATGTTCTCGCAAAACAACTAGGACAATTTTTGAAGATTCAGTTTCCAGCTATGGAAAGAAATGTACGTAAAGTTGAATACTTGAATTATCTTTGGTTTTGCAGCTTATCTAAGAACGTTGCAACTTATCAAAGAAAAATCATCATCTACCACGCCATCTCACGGAAACATTGATTTTGACACTGAACACACGACGATTCTACAATATTTGAAATCTCAAGGATTCAATGCTGGAAGAATGCCACCGAATCCAGTTGTTGCGGATGACATGATAATGGAAAACTAGCACACTTCTTCATGTTTCTTTTGTTTTTATCTCCCATCATTATAATTTTTATGCCCCCTTTTTCCACATTCGTTTCTCTTTTTTTGGAATCCCAGAACTCGAACCGTTCGAATTCTGTGAATCACGTGAATATCCCCAAAATCCCAGAACTCGAACCGTTCGAATTTTGTGAATCACGTGAATATCCCCAAAATCCCAGAACTCGAACCGTTCGAATTCTGTGAATCACGTGAATATCCCCAAAATCCCAGAACTCGAACCGTTCGAATTCTGTGAATCACGTGAATATCCCCAAAATCCCAGAACTCGAACCGTTCGAATTCTGTGAATCACGTGAATATCCCCAAAATCCCAGAACTCGAACCGTTCGAATTCTGTGAATCACGTGAATATCCCCAACATCCCAGAACTCGAACCGTTCGAATTATGGGAAAAATCCCAGAAATTGAAACGTTATATTTCTGTGAACCACGTAAAGTTTTGCAAAAATTGAAGTGTTCCTTTTCTGAAAGCCAACTAAAAACCATAAAAATTAAAAAACTGAAAATCAGCAAAAATAATGTAATTAATACCATATTTCCCGTGGTTACGTTGAAATAAAATATTTCTGATAAAAAACCCAGCGATTATGCTATTTATCAGAAGTTGAAATTTTTCTGTGATAAATTACAGAAATTTGATTCATTTTTGATTTTTCCTCCGAGAATTGAAAATTTTGAAATTCACTACTTCTTATATTGTCAAATTAAATTAATGTCTGTTGCAAAAAAAAAACAATTGTGTCTGCAGAAATGATGACAAATAAAAGTATTGTGAAATTACGACTTTGAATAATTCTGACAGATATGACAAAATATAGAAATTATTGAAGAAATTAAAAAAATTGTAATCATCACATCGATGATCACCGTGGAGATGTCAAGGTTTCATATTCAGACAACCGACAAGGTGCTCCATCGAATGATCCTGACTTGATCGGTTTGGCACTCCATCAGCTCGGTTTTTCCATATTCTTCAGCTTCATATTCATGTTCAAATTTCGGTGGCTGAAAAAAAGAAACGAACATTTTTCTGAAATCCACTCAAATTTATTTTCAAATTACTTGAAGCAGAGAAGAAACTGAACGAAAAATTAATTTAAAAATTAAATGTATGTCTTTTTCAGCAGATTTTGGATAACTTTAGGCTAATTTCGAATGTTAATTTGAAATATTGTAGGCCGGTTTCGATCCATTTAAGGTCCATTCTTCAAAGTCAATCAGATTTTCAGATAAGGTTCAAACCAATAACTTACTTCCGATGACGTCATTGGTTTGCTATAGTACGCGGATAACGTCGTTGGCTCGTCTTCATATGGTACTGCTGGAAATTATAAATTTGAGAAAATTTTCAGATTAAAACTTCTGTATGTTTTCATTTATTTTTGTTCTGCTATGGAATTTTGGCCTTTTACATTCAGAATATGTTGCTCATTAGAAAAAAAAAGTTAGTCTTTAAAAAAATTTGGTGCTTAAAAAATTTTTCTAAGGACATTTGGGATTTTATAGTAGAGTCGATTTCTCTTACCAAGTTCTTATTGATGATCCAGAGGAAGTCGGTTGTATTTTTGAAGCCAGAGGAAAACCTTTTTCTCAATTTCATCAACTGTTGCTTGGTCGGGCTCCTAGGGGTGATACGTCGATTTGAAATAAGTTTGATTTTATCTGGATAAAATAGTTTCTGTGATCGAAAACACAATTTCGTAACAAGTCAAAACAGACATCATGGCATACATTTTTATTTCATGAAAATTTTCAAACAATTAATTGTGTTAATGTCCCATACGTCTTTGAGCAAGTATATTCCACTCTTGAAACTTTTGTTGAAGCTCAGTTTCTATAACGATAAATACATCGGAATTCAATAAAAATCAATGAAAAGACCGGTGGAAAATCAGAAACCAGCCATGAAGGGGAGTAAATATGGAGTGAATAGGGAATAAATA